AGGTCCTGGGGCAGGTCAGCGCCCGGCCGCTCCAGCGGCAGGGCCATCTCTGGGGCAGGGACGGGGGGAAGGCGCCGTCAGGCCCCGCCCGGGCTTCGTCCCGCCATTGCGGGGAGCGGAGAATCCCTCGGCACCCGAAAAAGCACCGAAAGGCCGGAAAAACACCGAGGGCGCCTGGATTTCGGGGTGACGGGGAACCTCCCCGATCCAGCTGGGGCGCGAGCGGCAGGGACGGGGGGAAGGCGCCGTCAGGCCCCGCCCGGGCTTCGTCCCGCCATTGCGGGGAGCGGAGAATCCCTCGGCACCCGAAAAAGCACCGAAAGGCCGGAAAAACACCGAGGGCGCCTGGATTTCGGGGTGACGGGGAACCTCCCCGATCCAGCTGGGGCGCGAGCGGCCCGGGGAAAACCCCCAGAGCTTCCCAGCACAGACCAGAGCGTGAACTGGGGGGGCCGGCAGCCCATTCCTGGGGGAAACCCTCCCTCCCGGTGTTCCTACCGCTCCGGATCCGGCTCAGCTCCGGCCCCAGCAGCTTCCCATCCATGCTCAGCAGGATGTATTTCTCCATCCGGAGCTCCGGGCTCAGCCGATCCACCGTCCGCCGGTGCGGTCGCTCCTGCGCCTCCGGGGGCTCGGTCCGGCCGGGATGCACCGCGTCCATCTTCCAGCTGGGAAAGGGAAGGAGAAGACGGGAATCGTCACCGCTCCGGTCACCGCAGCGCCGACGCGGCCAGCGCCGACCCTCCCGTCCAGCCCCGGGGTCACGGCACCACGGGAAGATCCCGGCGTCACTGGAGCGGGGGGGATAACCCGGCTCCTGGGGTCCCCCGCGGGTGACCGAGCTCCGAAACCCGGTCGCAGCCACCACGGCGTTTCCCAAACCCATCCCTGCTCCCGTTTCGGGCCGGCTGGGAAGAGACGCGGCCGGTTTCGGACACAGGGGCGGGGGGGAACCGAGTGCCAGAAGCAGCTCGTCCCCAGAACGGGGGGTTCTGTCCCCGCCGCGCCCCCCGGGCACGGCCGCAGCAGCTCAGGGGGAAGATTTGTGTCCCCGTCACCCGAGGGAACCCGCTCGGGGCTCCGGGTTATTCCAACCCGCTGGCATTACCATAACCTGGGCTCAACCGTTTGGCTCCGAAACGGCCGAGCCGCCCCCCGGGAGCCGCCGGCGGGGAGAGGGACGGCACGGGAGGGAGGGAGCCAGCGTCCCCCGGATGCGCCGAGCCACCGGCGCGGCTTTGCCGGTCCCCAGCGACGCGGAGGGAGGAGCGGGGAGGGAGGCTGCGGAGAGGCCAGCAGCTGTTTCCCTTCCCCTCTCTGGGAACGGGTAATTAAATCCCTCGCTGCGCTCGGCGAGTCGATTACCAGATTCCCAGCGAGATTTCTGAGATAAAAACCCCGCGTTTCAGGCGGGAGAGCGGACGAGGAGGGGCTGGGCTGCTCCGGGCGCAGGTGACGGCGCCGGGGGGATTCACCCAGAAGCCGCAGCTCCGTCGGAGCCGGGCTGCGCTGCGCTTCCCTGAGCGTCCATCCCTCATCCGGCTCGTTAACGCTATAACGAGTTCATCGCCACGTTCGGTTACGGGTCCTGGGACAGCCTGGCGGCGCGGCACGCGGCGGCGCAGGCAGGGCGGCCCGCAGGAGCCCGGTGTGGGGTTATGGCCACCCAGCCCTCGCCCTCCTCGCCGCGCAGGACTCCGGGGCTCTCCGGATCGTTCCTGAACGTGGTTTTAGGAAATCTCTACCCGGGCGCTCCGGCCGTAGCGAACCAGCCCGGGGCACGTCCCTCATCCCTCCCCTGCTCCCCCTCACCAGTAAAGGGCCCCCGTCCCAGCTGGGGGGGCTGGCTGGGAAGGCAGAGCCCCCCAAACGGGGCGGTCGCCAGCTCCCCTACAGAGGGCCGCG